TAAGTGACTAGACTAAGGGAAGATTTATCGAATTGGTATATTAAATTAACTATTGTGATAGACTGTTATGGGATATTTGAAAAATATAGAATCATCCTACTAACGCAAACGTAAAAAGATATTTATCAAGAATGTATAGTATTTGTTAAAGGTGTGAATTGCCAAATTCAAGGAGTTTACTTGAATGAAAACACAAGGGAAAACATTTTTGAGGAGTTACGCACAGTTGTGGGATTTTTTACATACATTTTTTTTATTCATGCTACATTGTACGATATTTCGATTCTATTCAAATGCGAAATTAAATCAGTTGTAGATTGCATTCATGCAAAAACTACTAATTACATAATTAGACATACTTAAATATATTTCATAATTATGCTATTTAAATAAAATGCCACTAAAAATATTCTAACATACGTGGAAATATAGTGCAAATGCTAAGACGATGCTAGTTCAGGTCCGGTTAATAGTTAATATTGCTTAATTAACTAGCAAAATCTGGCTTGGCAAAGTTTTATCCAGATTTTAGAGGATAATGAGTTCAGCTTGCTGTTATCGGGTCAAACATTAATTACATTTGAACATTTTAATCAACTGATGTTAATTACAGACAGTAATTTATTATGTACATAGACCCTAATATTTGTTGGGTCCTTTTATTCTAATAGATTTTTATGATTATATTCTAGCATTCTAGAATAATTCTGATAAGTATTTGATCAAGGCCGTGCCTGCCATTTTATTGATTTATAGGATTAACTATATTAAGTACAATTATCCGCTAGTTTAGAACAAATTAATCATTTTCCTCATTGACGTAAGTAACTATCAACGGTGATACATTTTTCAAAAGCAGTTCGAAGCATTTCTTGCACAATTGTGGTACAATTGAAAAGAAAATGCAAGTTAACAAATCATTTAATTATCCGAAGTGAATACTACAGTGGCCTGTATAACCCTGTTCATTATCTGTGTGTCAATCTCAATTAAACTAATAATTGTTTAATTTAAATGCATTATTGTTACCGTTGTGGCGTAAATTTCTCATTATTAATTAAAACTCGTGATCTATCAGAATTCATGTACGCGCATATTTGTTCGCTTTACTGATGTAATAAGCGCAAGAGCTGAGATAAAAATGAAAGAAATGATTAAACTTGAGTATTTGCCTAAGGGTATGAAGCCAAGTCGTTTGCTTTTATCGCGTCAGAAATTCAAGGATGTGCCATTCAAACCCGACAAAGAACATGAACTGGCGAATTCCATATCTCTCAATCTGTTCTTTGTCTGTGTCCAATTTCTAAATCACCCCATGCACCATGTGAGTCACAGTTTGATTATTTCTAGTCATTTTTCCACTGTAAATCACTTTCAGATTGTTCGAATTGCCTTTCAAAATATTAGCTTTCCACAGCAAGTAGCTTAGCAATCGATTAACATTCTACAAGAAGAGTTTTCTTGCGAATCGTTCACATTGTACTTTTGCGGATTGCTCTATGCCGAGCTCATCGAAGGTTTTTCCTTATCTATACCCCCAAATTGAGTTGAAAAGTGAAGCGGTTTTTAACAATTGCTTGTTTGGCTTTGATTGTTGACAGAAAAGGCGATGCTTAGGGGCGTACATTTAGAAACATCTATAAAAATGTTTTCTATTTTCGGCAAAAGTTGAATGTTGATGTGTCGCATTTTATAGAATGCACACTTTGACGTCGAACGATTATTATGCCTACTACCAAAGCTGAGAATTTATATCTAAGGATTTTCGTATATAAATTTGAATTTCAAATGAAAACAAATAGGCTTATGGAAGAACGGGTCGTTCTACATCAACGCAACTTTGCTTCGGCTGTTTAAGGTATTCTCAATTTCTTCTGAAGTTATGGTAAATCAATTTACAATACAGTCGAGCCAAGCCACAAGAATTCATGACTAGTTTGTTTGACCCACGTCGAAATGCGTGATAATTCGGTTGGTAATCAGACTCGGTGTCTAAAAATAATGAACTTCCTTCGCAGACACATTTCAAATGGATTTTTCCTTCGTGTTGAAGTACTTTGATAAATAGCAATATCTGCCGATTAATGTTAATCCGAGACACTTTCTGTGTCTGCTAGTGATAAATAAAGAAAAAGTACTTAACTGAAACAATGCATTTTTTCAGCTTTTGTGGTTAAAAGACTCTATATCATAAAAGTCAATGATGTTACTTAGGAATTTGGGTTAATTTCGGTGCTGACATGAACGATTTGAGGTCATATCATCATATTTATTCGGGTAGTGATCGATAGAATGAGTATTGATAGGCATCGGCAATTTTTGGTGGATATTAGCAATCATATGAAGTAGTTTTCATTTTATTGGTTAGCTATTACTTGTAATTGCAAATGGGAAAATAGATGAAGGACTGGTAGTAAAACCAATAGTCATTTATGATGGCGTTTTGAAAATTCTCATGATTTATGGAACATCAGCATTCTTTGCATTCGGGAAACAATTTCAATCGAAATATAAAGAAAACATCGATCGATTGTGTTTGCTATAAATTACGTATATGAACGTATTCAATGTAAAGAAGGAAAGCACATTAAAGAGAGTTTTTATTCAAATATCTGTATGGTCATTGAATTTTTATTTTATTGTTGAAACGATAAGATCCGTTACCACATAAAGATCAGTTTCGCGTTGAAAATATATACAGGCAAATTCCATAAAATTATAACTGATCCTTGAAATATGCAGATGTTGCAGTCAAGGTGCAAGGGCGATAAGTGCCAAATAAGCAGACAAACAGTTTCCTGCACAATAAAATAATATTGCAATATTTGATTAAATCAAACAAGGTTGAAGTCGGTCGATGCAAACAACCGAAACCTGATTGGGGATAAGGCAATCTCGCTTTTACTTCAACTTCGCAACCATACCAATACGATAATACAAATAATACAGATCCTGTAGATGATATGCTCCTTAACTTTTGCTTGACTTTCTCTAACACGAAACCTGCATTAGATACGATATATTGTTGTAGATATCTACATGTTGCATAATTGTTTAGCATGGGGCTTGTTAGGTGAATGCTTATCTGGAATATCTAGGAAATAAATCGTTGGTGTTGAAGTTCGCATCACATAGAGTTACATTGATCTTATGGAAGATATTCAAAAGAGTTTGTGGAAAAATCTAGAGGACTTGCCAATTATAATTATTTGATATATTTTCCATTTCTTTTATCATTAGTAAAAGTGAGAATAAAGCTTTTCATTAAGATTCCATTCTAAAGCACTTCTATTGATTTTCATCTTTATTTTTATATACTTATCAGGCGTTATTTGGCCCGAACCAATATTTCTCTATTGTTAGAAAAAAATAATTCACCTTGGAAGCAGCATTTTGAGAATTTTATATGTACTCATATTGGCTAAAACATTAATTAATCGTGTCGTCTTTAGCATCAATCTGAATTTTTGAGAATTATGATTATTTTTGCGATAGTGAACAATAAAAATTTTTGTTAGCTTCATCATTTGTCTGATGGATTTCACTGTTTCGTTTTTTCACATGTTTGGAGCCTAAATGAATTAAGTGTAATCAACAGGAAAACTTAGAAATCTGGGTAGTTGAATGGAAAATACAATACAATTTTTCTTGCGAAATGTTTTGATAATCGTATCATATTCAGGAAATATTTGTAGGAAACTTGGGACTTTTTTAACAAATACGTAAATATTGGGCTGCTTTTCAAACTCTCCCCTACATCGATCGAAACTTAGCCCTACAATGTTCAAGTCGGAAACATTTAAAATATCATTTTACAAATACCAATACGTTGATCGTCGGTTCCACCTGGCGCATAATGAAGGAAAAGAATACGTGAATGATTTCATACAAAAGAAGACCCTTCAGAAGGCCCTCGAGGGGACAGAAGAATTATGCGGCTATATAGACCCAAGTCGTATTGTTAGCTGGAGAGTGTGGTAAAAAGGTATTTTCGATATGCTTTGTAGTGGGACAAGAGTGTCTGAGTCTATGAATTGGCCATTTTGGAAAATGGAGTTAATAGTTCGGGAATTGCAAGGTACAACCGATCAATGTTATTTCACTGTGTGCATTCAGGTAGAACTGGCTTGAATTTGTATTGCAAATATTTATTTTTCCTTGTTTAAGCATTAATGCCTTATCATTTCGATTTAATTGATTACTTTTTTGAATATCGAAACTTTGTAACATCACAGACAAAATTTCACATTTTAATTGCAGTTTCTTCACTGAAAGAAGTCTGAGAAACCTGTTAAGATAATTTTTAATTAAGTGGTATACTTCGGCAAAGCTTAAGAGTATCAGACACCTCGTGTATAAATTGGGCTGCGACAAGATATGTAAATCAGTAGTTCTTGTAAAACTGGAAAATATTCTGCTTTTGAACATGCACAAGCCCAGAAACGAACAGTTTCTAGTAGTACAACTCCACTGGTATTTATGCCATAATATGATTGTCGTTTATTTCTTTTTGGATTATAAATTAGCTTACAAATAATTTTGTTTTTTTCAAATTGATACAGGCTAAACAGGACAAGTAATTGATATGGTCCGAAAGTTGACATACTGGATACGTTTTTTGCTATAATTTGCTAAATGCGAGCATAAATTATCGTTTTTATCGCAACCAACGACAATCCTTATTCATAAAACCGGTATACGTAACTTCAAAACCGTCATTTGATGATCGGTGGAATTTCTTAAATCGTAATATAATTAAACTGTATTGACGCTGGCCGTTAATATCTCATTTACAAGCATATAATGGCTGCAAGAAACCTATTCCGTTCATTACAAAAGGACGAACAGTTATTGAGTACCTACTAAGAAAAAAATGTAAACTTGCTGTGCGAAATGATGAATGTGTAATAATTTGGTTTTTATTTGACAGTTGCCTTTATTGTTTTGCTTTAACTGCTTATCTCTGGATTTTGTTTTAAATGTGATTTGTTTTGTTTCAGGTGAGTGCCCGATGTGAACAAGACCAAAAGTCTGAACTACGTACATGTAGTAAACGTACTAATGTAAGTTTTGCCAGAAGAGTGAACATTTTAAATCAGTTTCTATCAACAGTCTAAGTATGCAATAAAATGTATTGTTAAATTTACAACTGTAGACGATTCTTAATATTTTTTTGCGATTGATGCAATAAGTAAGGTGTATTTACGCTAGGAAGTCAATTGAACCGAAATGAACTGAATACAAAAAAAAGTAAATTATTAATGTGGTGGGCATTAATTACATTTCGCAGAGTTTCTTATTTTTGGAAAATAATTAAAACGTCGCTAATACATTTTACCAGCAGATTTTATATGAAGTTAGGAGTTTTCCCGAAAATTTCTTGTTGCAACACAGATTCAAACAAACTGTAATTTAAATGTAAAATTACGAAGCAATAAATTGTCCAGTAATTTTATTGTTAACTATAGTTATATACATTGTAGGTATATAAATCGTGTGAACTTACACGAATCTTTTAAGATGAAATATGCTTTAATTGTCAATTTCTCCCACTCTTTAAGTTTAAAGAATAAATACCGAATTTTGCGTTATCTATTTGCAGTCCGATAAGCACTCAACGGTACCGGTTTTATTATTATTATTATTATTATTATACGGGCGATTGAAAATTATCTGATCAAGCATTTAGTCGTATTTTACGTTTCAATCCTCAGTAACCACCCCCAAAAGCAATTTCACCACCTACAACTCGTCGAGGTACAACATAAACAGTAATGATAAATTATCCGTGTCTGCGCTCCATTATATGACAATCGCATCCAAGAAATCCCGGTGATTCGCTTCGGAATTATTTCTTTCTAGAGTAACGGCATCTATGACAAATGACCGCATAAGTATTAATAATAAACGAAACAATGACAATCCTACACTTCCAGAGAAATAGTAATGTTACTTGCAAATACATGCTGAGCGCACCTAAAAGCGAAAGGCGCAATGAAAAATCATTTGGTTATCAGGAACGGATCTGAGAATATGTAAATTTCTATGTACATTTCAAGTGAATACAAGATTTGCCGCTGTTAATTATGTAAAAATGTTTGCTTTTAATGTTAGTTCGCTCATATTAATGTGTGGTGGCTTTTGCAGCTTGATCCTAAGTCATCGAACTCGCACTTCCTTCTATTGAAAAAACTCTCTACGGAGGAAAAATCTGAGGGACCTTTGACAATCCCATTTCGTTTTATTCTAAACCTCCATAAGGATCGCATTTCCACAATTGACAGCACACAGCTTTCCTACTTTCCGAGGCTTAATAGCAATAAAAAATAATTGAAAAATCTGCGCGCGGTTTTATTATTTGTTTTGTGCGCGTATTAAATCAGTACCTGTGATTTTGTGTCTAAATCATAAGGTGCAAATCCAATTTATCATTGGAGTTTGACGAATTATTGCAGCTTAAAAGAAATTTTAAAACACTAGAGAAAATTGATTTTGATCACTTGAAAAACTTCTAGTATTGACTACTTTTGAAAAATATGTATGCCTGAGAGTCGGCTTTAAAAGTGAAATATTCAAATTACAAATTGGAGGTTTAGGGTTGTTAAAGACATAAAGTATTGTATTCGAAAGATAATTTACTTAAATGTCGTGCATTATTCCGGGATAACATTTCAAACTTCCGGAGGTTTTGGGGTTTTCTTTTGTTTTTTCAGGATAGTCCTAAGTTAGCGTAGAAAATAACACTTTACACTTTACCAGCAAATAACCCCAATTATTGCAAATCAAAAGAATCGAAATTCTGATTCGTTTTTCTCTTTGGGTGATTATGTACCCAAAAAATCCTAATCGCGAGTAATGCAACTGGTATTTGACGTGCTTTTGCTATCGTAACATGTTGTTCTGGAAATTATATCTGCAAGCTGTTTTTTCTGGATTATTAATACTTTTTTGCACTTGTAACTTTCCCTAATATTGCAAGGCTTCCAATGTAGTCACTGTCATTTTCCACATGATTTCGTTGATTGCAGTCTGGCTTTTTATTTACAACAATCAGCTTGATTAATTAATACGGGTTGCTCGTTTCGTTTTCAGATTTCTGGCTTTATTTCATCATTCCGCTACACTTTCATGGGTAAAAAATGTGCCCAAATCAATGTAAAAATATTGTAGCTACTTAAATTTGTTTTTTCCATTTTCGATTGAGTACAGCCCTGTAAACTCATTGCCCAAGCAGTGCTCAATGACGATGCTTAGTGAGTAATGGTCTTAAGACTCATTAACATAGAAATAACATTTCAATATTTAACACCTCGGACGGGAATTTATAATGAGGAAGTATATGCAGAAATCCATTATTATTAAAGTTACGGACCTACTCCCTTATTGTGCGAAGGCAGAATAAAAAGGCGGGTGTTTTCATTTAAATATTTCATGTCGTTGCGATAAGAATGCACGATTTTGAAAGCCCTGGTTTACAGCTTTGTTTCGCGATTGCCGTGTTTTTCTTTTGGTTGGCATTTTGTTCACTACTCTATAATAATTAGCGCTGGAACAGAGGCGACTTTTCCGTTTAAAAGAGCTGTTTGGTATGGCTATTAAAGCATTATGAACTTGCCCTGAAGTTAATGTCAACTGCTGAACCCACATGCATGGTAACTCGATATTATAACTGTGTAGTGTCTTGGAATCGTATCTATAATCTTATACATTCTCTTCTGAGGCAATTATCATATCAAAATACGAGTGAGGAATATTACCTTTAGTTTCAACTCATTTCTTTATGTCTATCTGATTATTTTATACAATTCCAAACTTAACCAGCTTCCTGAACAGTAAACATGTAGATCTAGAGGTCTGCTTTAATATGTGGTGCTTGAGGTTTACTTTTTCCAATAGCTATATGGTTTTGACTGACTAGTCAATCTTGACTTCTCTATTCGTTTTAAGCGGATTTCAAAACCAAATTGGAATCCACCTTTTTGAAACAGATTTTCTATACCCGTAAAGTGAGTAGAGTTATAATGTAGGTCATCGAGATCAGCCTCTAAAGAGGGCCTTCGTGTAGCCAACTAACTATTTGCGCTGCAATTACCATCCAATGTTTGGCCCGAACGTTGCGGTTATCTGCATTCTATTCTCCTAACAACTGTTCTTTGAAACTCAACTTCACCTCTAATGTAATTAAAGCTAAGTGAACGGAATTCAAGCTACTGATTTAATGTTAATATTCGACGGAACCCATACTCTCGGTTTACTACTCGCATACTTCTCACACCATCAGGAAGTCAGAAACAATGTTCAAGTTCAAAAATAATTGAAGTTGCCAAGGAACAATTACTTGAGGAATTCTGTAATTGATCAAGTGCAAGCAAATAAGTACTGCATGAACAAAAGTACTGTGAAACATTTTGAAAACGAGCACGGATTAACAGTGTGCTGTTAAAAATCAATTTCGAAACATTTTCTTCTTTATCAAGAGCTCATTCTGAATCTAGATTGTGGAATGCATAGACTTTAAGTGAGTGGAAGAAGAACAGCAATAATGTTTCTGAGCGGGTGCATAAGCATGAGCTTGAGAGCGGAGTTTGCTTAGAGCTGATCATTATGGAATACATGTATGAGATTCCTACACAGCTAAAGAGGGATCAGCAGTAATCAACAATGAATGCTGTTGTTATTGGATGGATAAGCCAATAAACGTGTTATGAAGAATTCTACCCAAAAAATATAATTTACTTAAACATTGTAAAAATAATTAAAATCAAGATTTAAACATTTTAGCGTTTATGGATTCCTTCGTATTTGAAAAACACTGCCCTCATTCGTATACTTAATTGTGTCGTCTTTAGCGCACATGCAAAACCCTAACTTTCATTTTAGGTGAGCCAGCGTTATTAAAATCCATAGGTCTGCAAATGCCACATATGATGAACGCATAAAGGCATGATGATCTAATGCTATCATTTTCAATACTCAGCTTGATAATTGAAATAGCAAGAGAATGTCAATGAAAGGTTCACAAAAGAAAATCCATCATTAAATTCGCATAATGATTCTAGGTTGATTACGGTTTCGTCATTACAATTAATGTTAAGTTAGTGTCTAGCTATTGAAATGACTTATTCAGAATAAAGGTATGAAGCAACTGCTTTTATAAAAATTTATTCTTCAAACAATTATTTGTTTTAAAGTGTTTTAAAACTGCAATACTATCTAATACAATTTGAAAGAAACTCACTTTATGAATGGATCATTTGCATTTATTGTGTTCCTGTAAATTACATGAACTTTATTCTTGTATCTTAAGTAAAAGAAACCTTTCTATTTCTAGTACATAGATTGCAAAATATTTAGCGTTTTGGGCAGTACCAGTACCGGTATCATGTTCACGTACATGCTCAGAAAGGTTCAAATTTATGTTCATATACCGTATACAGGACAGTCCATGTCAAAATTATCGTTATTTATGTGTTTGAGCATTTTTTAAACAGCGCGTGTTAACTGTCTTTATTATAGTTATCTATTGCGCAATTTTGCATATTTAGTAGGCTTTATGTAACGCACCTAAACTCGAAATATTACAAATCATCCGAAAAATAAATTATTAAAAAATAATTAAATCAACAACTCGAAGTTTGGTTGTTCGCATTTTGTTTCTTTGGAAACTCGTTGTAGAAATCAGGAGTCATTCTATTTCCACCCAATTTGTGTAAGAGTTTATATTGAGATTGTTCAATTCATTCGTAATGGAGGGCACAAATTGTATCGATGGCGCCAGAACATTGTGGGAATAGCAAAATCGTCTGATTGGTAAAAGAGCTAAAGAAAATTCAACTTTATATTATGTTACTTTTAATAGGTAGTTACCTATTCTAGAATTTCCAATTTAAAAATATGACGCTAAATGTTTGTTGAATTCGTTTGTTTTGCAGTAAATAGTATCTGCTTTATACGTAGTTGAAATGTTTTATACGTGAAGTTTTTGCCGAAATCAAATAAGTGTTTATAATGATGACTTAAAGAAGATAATAAGTGAAAGCGAGTATGATTTGGAAAATTCTAA